TACTCATCTTCATCTTCAATACCCCATTTAAGCTTTTGCGCTCGAGACGAGTTTATGTCACTTTAGGTAATTCAGTCAAGAGCTCCTGAACGAGCGTTCGAACATTTAAGCAGCTGCTTAGACGTCGCGCGAAGAAATGTCTCGTAAATTACGCAATGAGATGACACTCCTTCAAACGACCGACACTCGCTGAAGTGTGAGCAAACGGCAACCGGAATCGGATAATTTTCCCGATCGTGAGGAGACACCCGTGACGACGGCGAAGCGACGAAAAAGCGCGAGTTCCGCGGTTGCAATCGTCGCCTAACGATAATCGACTCCCTCTTAGCGGCGACGATAAATTAATTATTATAATTATGTATATGCCATTATCCCATTATCCCGTTGACAACCGATATAATCGCGACGGCTCGAATTCCTTAGCGCGTAGGATAAGATGAATTTTCCTCTTTAATACCTCCGCGAAGTATTTATAATCATCTTATACGTGCGCAACATTCTCTCTGGGACTGCTATCAAGGCATCATCCTTGTCATCGTCTAACATATTGCAGAAGAAGACGAATCGGCGACGCAAACCGTTACGCGGTGATAATTATCGTTTAATCGCTCCGGCGATGCGGAGACGGGTACATTTCCATTTCTTCTTAATTCACTCTTTTGCCTTAATGCGAAAATAATGGGATTACATTACGATCGGCGTTAAATAAGTTTCACGCGAGGTTTCACGAGTACGTCGTACTAACCGTACGCAACAAAAAATGTTTTAAATTAGATTCTAAATCAGATATCGCAATCAAGTTTGTTGTTTACTTCGGATAATAAATCAAAATTTCTTTAATGACATGTTAAATTCAAATTTAGTTAATAAAATAAGATTAATAATGAGATTTGGAGGATACGCAGCGTCTGCAGGGTGGTATTCCTATCATTTTCTCGACTGTAACGAATGGTCCAAGTTTTGCCAAAGTATATCGCGACTCGCTGTATTATTTAACCTCTCGTGCGCGATGCGCTCCGATCTGATGCGAGTAATTTCCTCAGCGACTTCGCTATCTAGCATGCTGGAAGCATTTCGTTTTTTTTTTTTAAACGACTGCTTAACCGTCCGAGATGAAACGGTGACTGTCCGCTCGACCGTCTCGTAACTTAAGTAATATGCGCTTAAAATTTCCAACGATAACGTCTCGGAAAACCACGGTCAGCCGATTCCCGCGACCCTGGGAAAATCGCAAAAGGGGAGAACGATCGAGCCGCACTGATAACGGCTATAATTCAACTACTGGCAGTAATTATTATCGTTGTAACATGATGAAAGTACAGATAATTTCTACTGTCTCGAAAATAGTAGAGCGATGCAGTCTGCATTCGTAGAGAGGTCGAAGTAACGAAAGATTCAGCGACATGACGTGTACTGTCTTGCAAACTCTCGTTGCTCAGTATGCACGAAGCGTCCCGCTTAACTCTTAACTCTTAACTCTCTAATCTTCGAGATGGAAACATTCCGAGATTAAAGCGCGATCAGATAAAGAGCGCGGTCAAAGATTACGACACAGATTAGATTAAATTAATTCCATATTTCATATCTCACGCATCTTCGCTTTGGCAACTGTTTTGACATTGTGACTAAAGGTATAGAGAAAAATTGCTGAATACACAAACGCGGGATTAATCTGTAATAATTACACAATAGGTATGAGATTTAATCGAGGAGGAATTTTACACTTTGCAAAGAAGCTAAATTATATGAATAGGATCTTAAACATGATGAGCCGGATAACGAAAGAAAAGCAATGAATACTTAACATTGACCTAATTAGATGATGCAAAAGAAGGGGAAATGAAGATTGATATGAGCGGTTGCCCCGGTACGGGGTCACCGAGCGCGTGCGAATAGCGTGAGGCTCCCGGCGATTACACCGAAAAGGTCTATAAACAGTAAGTGCGGAGGCAAGAAACTCATTTGAGACTTATGTAGAAGTGGCAGGGGAACGGAGGTGTATTGGAAGCAACAGCAGCAGCGACAGAGATGAGTCACATCCTAGATCAAGCCGCGATGGAGGAAAATAACGTGGAAACAAGAAGACCGCACCGTTGCGGGTCATCTTCGCGGTGTATTTTGCCGACTACATATAATAGTCACTTCAGTTTCCATGTGCGTGATATACATATGTACATATATCACGCAGGGAACCGTCAAATAACACGATTGTTTGTGTTATTGAAAACCGTATCATTTAAGAATCCACAAAAGATCCATATAAAATTGGCCATTTGCAAAACAATAAAATTGCCTTTTCCAAGGAATTATTAAAAAATTTTTTTTTTAATAGAATTGTTACAATTTTTTTACTGTGCTATTTAAAACTCCGTGCTATTCGAATACCATATTATCTATGTATATATACATAATTAAATCCGAGATTTATTCTTTTCTTTCTTGCCTAGTCGCATTCCTTCGACCATGATATCTTTTACGACCGTCTTATCCGTTCGGCGTTTCGCGGATGCTTCTGTTACTGTCGTAAGCGCTTTCCTCTGTATAACGGCCTCCGCGTAATCGTCCTTGATCGCCATGCCGACGTAAGAGAGTTACGTTCGAAACCGTAACTATCAAGTCACATTTCATAAGCAGTGCTTTAATACAATACACTCCGAATACTACATTTAAAATGAGGGGAAGTTTATACATTTATATTTCAAGAGGTTTTGCAATCTCAGAAATTTCGTTGCTTGCGACGCGTCTTATTATATTATGCAATTCTCAAGCCAACTTTCTACATTATTTTAATACGAATTATGTATTGTTGCAGATACATCTGCGTCTGGATGCTGACGGTGGTCACGCTGAGGTGTCAGGTAAATATATCTTGCTTGCAATATTGCGCGTGTAATAACTCGCAAAGGGCACAGAATTTCATGGGAGACAATTTTCCTTTCTATAGGCGACCGGTCACGAAAATGCGGAGGTGGAGGGAAATTCCGAAGAGTCCGTTATCGACGACACCACCGAGGATTATTGGGCGGGCAGCGGATCGGGACCCGACGAGGATGAGTCCTCCTCTCACAACGAAACCAGAGAAGCGTTAACTCACGAGGCCAGCGACCACGATGCTGTAAGTCACGCATCGCCAATTTGTTTCGCGTTGCGCACTTACTTATTGAAATTCATGATAGATATTGCACAAGAAGTTTCTCCTCGATCTGTTATTTCTTTGTTCCGTTATCTTTATGGAAATATTTATTTTTTTTCCCGTATTGCATTGATTGACCAAAAAAACAGCATACATATAAGAAAGAGAAACCGATAAAGAAAATTGACCATCAGCTTTAAATTGCTCAAAGTATTAGTTACATTTTGCATTTGACGCGTTCTAAGATTCCACTACTTTAAACAAATACTAACATTGTTAATTTGTTGATGTATATTAGCATCATATTTTTACTTATTATATCATTAATTATCAAAGCAAAAAATTTTATTAGACAATAGAATCTTTAATCGAGAATTCTACAGATCTTCGACAATAAATATCGTAGTATGTGACAATAAAAAGGAGAGTGAGAGAAGTAAGAAGAAAGGTGTATGCTCATCTGCCGTACGATCGCGTCCATCCAGTTATATTTAATTGGCAAACGGTTTCCTCGAAAGTGGATTAAAAAAAAAGAGTTTACGAGAGCGGAGTGGGAAAAAAAGGAAGTGAAAGAATGATACTTGCCCGTCTGTTCAGTTTTGCGTGATTTCTCGTTAACGAATGCTCGCGCGCAAGGCCGTACCTAGATGCGGCGAACCTAGATGCAGGTGTTCTGCATCCGCTATGATATTCAAGAGAGTAAAAAAGGGAAATGCTGACAGTTAACCGCAGCAAAGACGACGCCTCGATCGCCGGCGTGTCCTCGATCGAGGCCGTAAAAATCCTCCTGAAGATCTACGGAGGACGGCGCGGTCGATCGTCTTTGCTTTCCTCGTGTGACTCTTGTCTTCGCTGCGATCGATATCAGTAAAATCGCGAAAGATCGGTTTTGCAACAAAAAATCAATTATTGTACAGGCGCGCGTGTTTTACTCCATCCCCGTAATCTTCCTCCTTCCCGTGGCACGTAGAAAATGCCACAGGCCCTTTCTAAACGAAGGGCAGAAGGTTGCTCGGCGCATCAGTACGGCGAGCACCAGGGGAGAGAAGAATAAAGGCCATTCCTTTGATTAATCGCTCTTTATCGATGATCTGCGGATTGCTTTTAAACTAGTTTTCGAGCGGAATCGATTTCGATCGCGAAAAAATGTGAACCAGTTTCCAGTAGAATAGAGAGAAAGGGTATCGCGGCCACGTCCGTGCGCGACCTTCGTTATATCGCAAATTGCGCGCGGATAGATCGCTTCTTGTGCCGCGTGATTCTCCGCGGGGGAAGGCCCTTATTACTCGAGAGAGAGCACCAGAAGCGGTTTATTTAGCCTACGAGCGTTCCGTTGCGAAACGGGAGACAAGATCAATTTCATCTGCGCTGCGTATACTGCTGCGTTTCCGTCCGTACCGATTGGAGAAGCGAAGACTAATCGCACGGAAGTGCACTGTATAGCTTAAAGCTGTCTCGTCCTGTGTGAGATGAAAACTGTATCTATGAAAATCGTTAATCGATAACCATAAATGCTATAATTCGACGTAAACGTAATAAATGTTTGATTGTCTCGGCTACCGTATTTTTTAACACATATTTTGTAAAAATAAATAAAATTACATTAAAAATAAAAATTTATAACATCTGCAAAGCGCAAAATTAATATGAAAAAATTAATCTTTGTTTGGTATTCTTTTATGTAACTGTGATTAAATTTTTGCATTAACTTTACACTTACATAGAATTTGATCTAAGCAACAATAATAATCAACTGAATCATCTTAGGACAAGATTCTAAAGAGATAGATGCATTTATCTAAGTCATCTGAGCGATCTTACTTCAACTAATGACTTTCGACACTCTAACCGCGCTACCGTTAATCACTGCATGAATGCGCATATCTCGATGCGACTTGATCAAATAAAGTCCAAGGAAGAAATTAACATTCACCCAAGAAAAAAATCTCCCGTCCGTCCCGACGTCATCTCTTAGTGTGAAACAAAACAAGAAAACCTAAACGGTAACTTGGTATTTCTTCTTTGAAGAAACGTGAGTTTATATCGCGGATGTCGATGATCATTAAGGAAAATGTTCTTATTATGCGCAAGACTGCAAGATTCGATGTCAAATTGCGCTCATCCCCGGATGCGTACAAATGTTAATGCGTACAAATATTACCTCGAATTGCTTCCAGCGAATGCTAATTTTCAAAAAACAGTTATCGGAAATAGATTTGTGTTAAATGGGAAACTAATAAGTTCGTGGAAGAGGAGCCCACAAAACGGAAGACGTCGTGCGAGGAGCACCGACGAGATCGAATCGGCGGCACATTCGACACGAAGGAGCATTTCGTATTATTGCATTTCCTACCTAGCCCAGTACAGTTAATACCGAAGTAGCCGTAGTTAAGCGTAGCAGGAGTCGAAGGTAATCGGCACTTATCGTCCGTAATGCATTCCGATGAGATACCGCGGAAGATTCAAAGACCACCGGTCATTTTCCGCGGAACGTAGATCGGGCTGGCAGCGCGCTCGGGCCGGCTTCTTCTGCCAGAGGAACGATCTCCTAACTACTCTACTGGCCCATAAACGCCGTACGCCACTTCGCTCATCGGGGGTCCGCTCCGTTTCCCGGCAGCATCGTACTCGAGTTCCTGAAATTCCTCAAAAATGGAATCCGTGAAGAGAGGCAATTTCCCTGCGCAATCTGCAGGATGGCAACTATGTCGCATCGGACGTCGAGACCACAGGTGGAACGTGTCATCGAAAACAGCTCAAATGACGAGAAAAAGAATGGAGTAGGAGGAGGAGGAGGAGGAGGAGGAGGAGAAGAAGAAGATGGAGAATCAGAAAGGACGAGAAGGCGGCCGGAACGGAATGGCGATTTTTTCGTCACGGCATATGGAAAGCTGTTCGCAACTTTTTTCCTTCGTCGGTCGCTTCGAGTTAACCACTAACAACCACGTGCCCCATCCTCCCCTTTCCTCCCTCTCCGCGGCCGATTTGCCCGAGTAGGTACCTATCTGCAGTGCTCGCGTCGTGCTCGCTGACAAGCGGCTCAAAGTACAATATCCTCCCCCTCGTCCGCCCCCGCCGTCGTCATCTTATTCGTTCTTCTTGCGTCTCTTCTTGCGCCCGGCACCCGTACGCGGATGGAAGACCTCGGGTACCCACGCTCGGATAGGGGAATGAGCTCGTAAAGCGTTAGTCACGCGCTACTCGTGCTGTCCGTTTTTCAGACTTCCTCGTCGGGCTCTCTCCACCGTCCCTTTTCGCCTCCCTGGACTCTCTCCGCCGACGCCATGCCCTCCCTCTTCCGCGTATCCTCTCCTCTTCGTCGTTGGTCTCGACCCCCGGCGTTTTTTCTCGCCCTTTCTCACCGCTCGAGCGGTAGCGATCCGTACAGGCTGGGGGTTAAATCGGATCGTTAACGTAGGAGAGGTCAGGGCTCCCGCTCGACAGGATAGTTTTGCATAGCCGGATCGCGCGCGCACGAGGCTGTGTGTACGCGAGAATATTTTGCTGGGATCTCGCTTCCAACCGCAATATGCGGGCTAACGGCTTTGAACCTGCAAATCACTACCTGCGACTCGTTAGCGGATTCCTTTTCCGAGCTCCCGTATGAATATCATTAGTAGCAACAAGAATTTGGCACGGGTGGCTGCTTATTATAGGAGGAGGACGAGGAGGTTATTAGCGTGAACAATCGAAACTGAACACACACAACCTAAACCGTTTTTCTGACAATGATGTAACTAGGTACGGGAAATATGTGGTAATGCCTATACATAAGGTCGAACATCGATTATCGACATTTTTGCGAGATATGTAATTCTGAGTAAGAGTAATTTGGTGGACATTGCGTGTAATACTAATTTAATTTAATTAAGTTTAGAGAAAACAATTTTTCGCGTATTAAAATTATCATAGCTCTTCTTTCGAATTGTATAATATTAAATTAAACGTTATATTAAATTGTATGTAGTATAGAATGTATTAACATTATAACACTAATCCTTGAATAACTAGAGATGTATTCAATTATCAAAGAAATAACATAATAGATTTATGATAAATAGCACAAATAACAATGATCTATATTGTATCAATAAAAAATACTTCTACTTTTCTGAAAGGTCGTGTACGTTGGTGACGGTCCCGCTTACGTGCCAGTACCTTCGTTGAAGACTCGACCGTTGAATCCGAATCTTCAGGCTCTTCAAACTCTCCAAGGCTTGCAGAGCCTCGCTGGAAACGGAGGTACAGGCGTAGTCGGCGACGATGATTGGAGGAGACATCCAGAAACCTGGGACCGCGAACACCGAAGATACAGGCCCAACACGACGAGAGTGCAACGTGAGTACGAAGGCAGCTTTATTTTATCTTTTTGCTCAATTCGATTATTATTGTGTAGACAGACTTGATGATAATATTAAAATAAACGGTTTCTCGTAAGTACGGTAATTAGTAGTCTCGACAGTCCGTGCGTTTTCGGTAAGGTAAATTAAATATAAATCAAGTGAGTACACTATACAAGGCAATTACTCTTCAGTCTGCACAATCTCTCGAGCTAATAGAAATTTCCTGGTTTGTAAGTAGCTGTAATGGCGGCCTTGCATCAAGACGCTAATTCAGCGGAAATACGTTACGAAAGGGTATTGATTATATCGCTCCAGAGCCAACAGAAATCTCTATTTAGTCGATAATGGATTATCGACTCAATTTAACTCGCGATTACATTATTGCGTCTACACAGGAAAGAGAGCGCACTTGATAGGGGAGTGTATTTAGAGCAAGAGGATGGGACTAGCGGCTACACCGGGCGTAAACGGGGATCCGCTATTTCCCGTCCGAATAAAAGCGCCGACAAAAAGCGTCTACGGTATCGGTCTGGTGGGTCAGTGTGCCTCGGAGGAAAGACCGGTGTCGTCGCTTTAGCATGTCGATCCGTTATTTTTCTCTCCATTGTCCGGCAGGAGGTTGAAGCCCGAGGATAGCGCGCGTCATAGGACAAAGTACTTCCCTCCGGTGTCTCGGTCGATCGACTATGGAAGTATCGCAGTCGTGCACCGCGCGCGATGTATCCGTCCATCTCGGTCCCCGGCCTTAGCGCGCCCGGGAATTCAGAGTGCGATGGCGAATGGCTACCGTTAGAGAGGAGGCAATTAAAACGGTGTCGGAAAGTCGTACGACGCTCCTGACATCGAGGGTACGGAGGCAGAGAGATACACCACCTTGTGTGCCTGTGCAGCCTGTACGACGCTCCTCCGAGATGGCATCTGCAATCGTCATCGTCGTCATCGGCTCGGACCGTCGAGGACCGTCATCATCATCCCGCGCGATCATCATTATCCGCATCTGGATCGCGCGATTGCCTCGTGGAAACTCGAGCATCACACGGGCCCGCGCAGATATCTCGGCGCGTATATGTTATGGCGTCGGTAATCGACGACAGCTCGTTTCTGGCATCGGTTTTTCTGCGAGAAAATTGCGACGCCGCGTCGCAATGAAAATGATATTTATGAGCGGCCGTTATGTTATTTTTCTTTTCCTTCTCGTGCCGGCGCGTACGATGACGTGAAGTTATGTCGTCGAGTCCGCGGGAATTCTGTGAATGATTTAATGCTATCTCGAATACGTACGCTATAATGTACAGCGAGATCTTTTGAGCTACAGTTATTATTACTTTGCAATTTTTTTTCGCACTATTCGCTTTTATGGCGATCGATTTTCCGTCTAATCTGCGTTGCGCTGGAAACGCAATCAAATGCCATATGTAGGAAATAACAAATTTACACGATCGCAACTTTATATGATTCAGCGACGGGGTTATTACCTCTAAATTGACTTTACAATGAATTTTCTATCCTGTTCGAATAAAGTGCCTCTACGATCGCGAAGGCTTAATCAATGACTCATTAAAATTCTAGTTGGCCGATGCTTCAGTTTTAATCTCGCGTAGCGGGTGCGCGGTAGTAATTAATGCCAGTGGAACAAGACATTAATAGCGCCGACGCGGTGTCCCGTTACGGAAGAATAATAGACACAATGTCCTGTGAAAATAAATTTAATTTCCTACGCGCGCGTATAATCTCCTACGGCGTGTATGTGTTACGCTCATCCGCTGCGATGTGATTTTTCTGAAACCTCAAAGTTTATTGTGAATGTCTGAACACTTGAAGTTTATTGTGAATGTCTGAACACTCGCTATTCGTGCATATGGCGAGTAATCAACATAGCAGGCATCGCTGCCTGATACTCTCCTGAAGAAAATTACAGCGTGTTTCGTCGTAATGTAAATAAATAATATTTACGGGATGGAATCGCTGATGGTCGCTATCAAGTCCTCCCTTCGCGAACCCTTTTAATTGCATTTTGCAGAAAATTACGATCATCCTGGGAACCGCGTTGTGAGAAAAGTGCTTTAACGACACGTCGTTCTCCCCCGCTCGTTCGACCAGAACGAAGCGTCTATTACACCACTTTCTGTATTTTTGCTGTCTGCAATTAATCGTTTCATGTTTCTTAACTAAATCATTATACGGCAATTTGCTTCACCGATACCTATTATTCACGTGGGATGAGAAGATACGATCATCTATTATTCATGAACTTCATAGAAAATCAATATTAGAATCGTAAAATTATAATTATTACTTAAGCTTATATATAGGGCATTACAGGGTTTTTCCTTTCATTACAATGACATCTTCCGCAGTGCAGGTATCGAAAAGGATTAAATAATTAAATGATAAGCGATCCATATAATCCACATTTTGCTTCGCTCTACTTCGCCCCGATAAATCTCTACGCGTATTTAGGAAAAATTTTATTAAGAAAAAGCGACCGTGTACAATCAACCAGATAACATTTTTTTAAATATCAACATAGCGAAATAGCCTTCGAGACGACGCGACGGAACGATCGATGATCGCATTGCTACGGTAAATTTCCTAAAACATTCGGATGAGCCTGCCATTGGCAATGACGAATGCTACGCCCGTCCTATGAAGCTCGCTGGTTCAATGAAGTCGTAAAGTCGAGCCGCTCGTTCTCTGCGGGAACTTGAGGCCACCCGCGGTATCGTCAATTACGCGAAAGAGAGCCCATTAGGTTTAACCCTAGACATACTCACTGGGGTGTTACGGGACCCCACGCGAAATTCAAATTGAGCCCCTGCCTTAGGAAGGTTAGTTTTCATACCGAGACCCTAACCATAATTCAGTTTAGTCATCCGGCAGTCGACCTCCGTCACTCAGCGAGTGCGTTAGATCCGTGCAGTAGCTGAAAACCGAAAAAGAAAATCGTTTGGGGTGTCCGTACACCCCAGTGAGTTATTTACGCTCGACATTTACCACAGTAAAGTATATTTCAGATTTTTTGTGAAAATTGGTAACGAAAAATTTATACACTTTATAGCACTCCCCGGAAAATTCTACCCCTGTTTCATATATAATTGTTTAAGATTCGGTCAATTATTTCATTTTTGCTGTTCTTGCACAGCAACTGATTAAAACTTTGTAAAGTTTTTGTGGAGTTAATTTTACTGTTTCTATATACTTTTATAACTTTTGACTACCTTTCAAATAAATAATAATCGACAGAATCTGTTTTACTTTCCATTTCTTGCGATTTTTCCCATCCGACAGTTTTTCATCATTTCCTCTACTTCAGATGTTCAAAGAAATATGTTTTTTTTAAGAAACGAAAAAATCGCTTACATGCCCTTGAAGGTTGTCTATTCGTCTTTAAAAATCCGTTGGAAATTTTAAAATCGGTGAATTTTATGAAAAACTACAGCATTTTTAATAAAAATAGTCATTTCAGCCCAATTTTTGGTTCTTTTTCTTGTTTTTCGACATTTTTTTACTGTTTTTTTTTTACTACCGCAAATTGATGACTACTATCGTTTTCCCTATTAAACAACAAACAATATTATCTATTATAAAGTTTTCTAAGAACATTCTGGAAATATTATACACGCGGTACAAGTTTGGGGTATCGTCACACCCCAGTGAGTCATTCACGTATGAGAAAAATAAGTGAGTATGTCTAGGGTTAATGTATCCTCCTCGGCAACGCTCGATTCTCATGACGTCCTCGAGGTTCGAAGTCCAGTCCTCCTGCTACCTCTTTCCCTTTTACTTCCCCCACGCGGTCCACGTGTTTTTTTTTACCCCGTAACGCTTCTTAAAACGATTTCTGGCTAATTTGGAGATTCGGACCGGTAAATAGAAATACTGGCATCAAAAATTGAACATTTGCGTGTTTAAAGCAACAGCGAAGCCTTAAAGGAACTCAACGATATCCTCCAGCGTCTCTCCGTGACCGCTCTCGGCACGTCCGAGCAAATATCGGCGTTGCTCAACTCTTCCCATTGTCTGCCCACTGACAGAGTTTTGCCGGACGATGAACACAAAGCACGTATCCGCAATTCTAATAAGCGCGCGCGTATACGTGCGTGTACGTACGTACGCCGCTCGAAAATGCGCTCGGCACACTCGCGATGCGTAGGACGAGGGTGAAACGGAACGGTTGTATCATCGGCATGCGCCTCCGGTGTAACTATCTTCTCATCACTACCTTTATTATTTTTCCACGAGCCTATGATAGCGCGTGTCAAGTCTTTTTTGTTTACCTAGTCGAATCGAGGCTGATCTATTAATTTTTAACTACTAATAACTACTAATAATTTAACTATTAATAACTTTTGGCAGCCGATTTCAAAATTACTAGATAATATTTTTATAGAAAGTTTTGCTTTAGAGAAAGAAATACGGCGAAATTAAGTAATTTTGCAATCTTATTTCGATAAGCAGTGATGATACCCTTACGTGCCAATTAAATATAACGCCCGTCAAACATAATAATATATTTAAGTGTCATGCCAGGATGCCGTGCGTCCTACGATGACGGTGTGCGTGGGATGAGCGTGGGTCACGAAACGAAAAGGTTGTATCATCGGCCGACACCTCGAGCGTAACTATCTTCATCCTCCATCAATCTCCATTCCGCTTTGCGGTTGCGTTGCTACAGTGGAAACGGCTTCTTACCACGAAGAGCGCCTATACGGGACCCCTAACTTACTTTCACTCGTCATCGACGACCGGTTTTCCACTCGCTCCTATCCGCGAATCTGCGATTTTCCGCGCCCGGTTTCTACACGCGAGTGACGACAGGCTCTCCCTGGCCGCGAACACACGCCCACACGATGACCGATCGACACGTTTCCATCTTCTGTGATTGATTCTCCGTTTCGAAGTGACAATTACCGGGGGCCCGATATGGTACCGCTGTTTGCGCTATCCTGAGAATCCTTTCTGTCCGAGAAAGTTTTTTTTTTGCGAAAGAGAATTACTGATTGTGTTTCCACAAATGCAATCGATCTTTGTGGCTACAAATACTTTAATTTACTCGTTATGATTGTATCATCAATCGTAATATACAGAATGTTTAAATACATTTAAGTTATATTTAAATTATTTTATCTTATAACGCATAACTAGCCATTGTTCTTTTTCAATGATTGCTTAATTTATCATCTAAAAATCAGTTTTTAATAAATGTAGGCATAGTGGTAGGCGCAACACGTTAATTTTTCTCACTAATTCGTATATCCGGATACACAGTTTTCCCATTTCTCTTTCGACATCGGAGATTCCACCTAGACCTTCTTGGTTTCGTAAATACAAGAAAATTACGCTTATAATGAAATATAAAACAACGGAATGTAGATTTAATCGCGAAAAACGCGGACTGAAGAAAAAGTGTATGAAAAAAATGTATTTTTTTAATCGACATACTGTTGCGTAATTATTAATTAAATCTTATATTTTAGATATCGAGGCGGAATGCCAGGATGACTACATGAAAATCAGGATCGGATTCAACGGATCCTTCGCTGGCCTCTTGTACTCAGCAGGTAAAATTAATGATAGCGATTAATAACTTATTAATGCAATTCAGAAACCTTTTTATTTTTATTCATTGATAACTTCATTGAAACACTATTATATTTTTGTGATTTAAATCATGTATACAAGTAGTCAAACAATAACATTTAAACTAAAGTTTAAACATTGATTACATTTGGCACAAGATTTATGTGAATATTATGTAAATATTATGATGCAAATTATGGAAATTGCGCGGTGTCAAAAAAATCATGGCGCTGAGAGTTATGTTGCTACACTCTCTATTCTGGTCAAGAGACTCGACATAATATTCCACCTAAAATATGTGGCTGCATAACTGGCTGCATCGCTGGCATCCGCAATTACCTCGGCAGACAGTGAGACGAGTATACGTCCGCGCTAACGAGGTAATGACGGAAATTATCGTAAAACGATCGGCGCAGCGGTCGTCCACATCGACCGCGCCAGAATTTTTCTTTCGCCGTCGTAAGTCCATCTGTCCGTTCTAGTAAGATACTTCCGTTATTTAAGAAGTGTACCGCGGCCGTGCCTTCTGGCAGTGGACGCGATGCATCGGTAAAAACTGCAATAATCGCGAAGTGACTTCTTCACAAATCACTCGATGAGGCGACCTCTTCTTGAACCTCGCACCTGTTCAATGTCGATTCTGCTAATCCGTGATTCTCTCGTTGCTCGATAATGAGCCCCGTTAATCAACATTTTAATAATGAACTAATCGCCTTTGTACGAACGCGGATGTAAGCTTCGTAAAATACCGAGGCTCCTGATTGAATCCAGCAGGATGACTAAAAACTTGGACTACTCCGATCCTCGACTTTCTAACACCGGCGCACCGGCGCTAACGAGTGCACTTGGCATTTCCTCACTTACGCGCCATTTGCTCGCGTTGAAAATACATCAACGTCCGCCTAATCTTCGCACAACGCGATTCGCGCGGTCGAAACGCCGCGAGGAAGATTGTTTGATAAACGAGATATCGGTTGATATTCGATGCCTTACGTGGCCGTATCATAGACGGCCGCGTTCCAGATGAACAAGAATAATCGCTTTTAATTGCAGGCTACTCGTACGATCCCGATTGCATGTACGTTAATGGGACGGGCCGCGACTACTACGAGTTCTACATTCAGCTGAATCGGTGCGGCACCCTCGGCGAGAACACTCATCATCAGGACAGCAGGAAGAATCCGACGGTACGTAAAATAGACGAGCGCGAGCGCGTCGCAGAGAATGACGGATCGTTACTTTAGCGTGAGCCGCGCCGGTCGACAAGGAATAATAATGATTAACGGCGCAGGGGAAAAATGAGAGGGCACGGCGCGGCGGCTTATTTTTAATCTCGATAATTAGAGAAGATTAGATGTCATATCGCGCGCGGAACGCGCGGGAACGTAGGAACACGGCTATTATTACGGCTGGGAATCACGTGAGAAATAAGACTCAACGACAACGCGCTCTTGTCTTTCCAGAAAAATCTCATGTGGAACACGGTCACGGTGCAGTACAACCCATTGATAGAGGAGGAATTCGACGAACACTTCAAGGTGACTTGCGAGTACGGCTACGACTTTTGGAAGACGGTGACGTTTCCCTTTCTCGATGTCGAGTGAGTGTCGGATCTTTTTACTTTTGAAATAAATTGTCGATAATGGCTATATCGAAACGTCTCGAGATGGGGGGAGGGGGCCTCGAGCGTAGAAACAGTACGAAGGGTCATATCGATCAGAGGCTCGAAGCTCGTTTTCGTAATGCACGCGAGAGAAACACGACATGATCCGTCGGCTGAAACCTCCGATTACGCTCCGGCTCCGATGGAACGTTTCGCGCGAGGCGTTTACGTAATATCTACGATAATGTCTAACATCTGTGCTATCCTGTCGGCGCGAAGTAGGCCGTACTGCTCGCGAGAGATAACGGATACGCATTCTTCCTGCCTCTTACGCACCCACCTTCTTCCAGGGTCGCCACGGGAAATCCCGTAGTCTTCACCCTGCAGCCACCGGAGTGCTACATGGAAATCAGATACGGTTACGGGACCACTGGAACTAGAGTGGCTGGACCAGTCCGCGTCGGCGATCCCCTGACTCTCATTATCTACATGCGCAGCAAATACGGTAAGCCTCGTACGCACAGCTTAACTGCAGCTTTGCCACGCGTAAATCGCTAAAACGCTTAATGGATTCGACCTACTACTAGGTTCACAACGTTTAAACAAACAAACAAAAGACAATGGAAAATATAAAAAACAGTAGCGTTAAGTTAAATACTTGATTACTGCCTTGTTGGCTCATTAAAGTCTTAATATATATAACAAAACAATTAGATTATACATGTATCACTTTTGTTTTTGCACAAGTGATGTATTAATTTTATTACTTGCTTAGAACCATTTTTAAAAGTTTAATCGTGAATCTAATTTTTGTTTATATAAAACATAAACTGGAACATAATAAATACAAACTATAAAATACTAAAGGACTGTTACGATAATTGTGTATTCAGAAACGAACCTCCACGAAAAAAAGTCTATAATAGGGAAGCAAAAAATAAATATTCCTGCAAATCATTCACAATTGTTAACGTTCCCGCAAATCATTCACAGTACCCATTTTCGTGTACCTCTTTTCTTACTCGACGCCTGGTCTAATCATACGACGTCCGATTCCACCGAGCTATCATTCGACAGCGATAACGGTATAAAATGAACAGCAGAAGACTTTGTCAGTCGACTAGTCAGTTCAAGCTCGGTAATTTGCGAAAGATGCGGAAATGCTGGCGAGAAGATATGAAAATGTGTATGCTTCGACGTAACGACAGATGTCTGTACTTTAACGAGTCAGGCTTCTGTATTTACGTCTACATCACTTACGCTACGCGAATCTATGTCAGAAGGTAGAGGACGTCATATCTTACCCTTCTCTCGCCGCCTTTGACTAATTGGTTTCGTTACTGTGATGACATATTTCATGGAAGCTAATTATCGCTTCTTGCCTAATTATAATAAATCTCTAAGAACGATTCTTTGGATTTTGTACATCCATCACCGCTCTTAAAGTAATCTTTCCTCAAATTTGCTTAAATCTACTTCAATTTATGAATCAATAAATCTTGTATTATAATTTTTTAAGCAATAAGTTTTTATAGATAGTGATCTGATGATTTTCAAATAAATATAAACATTTACGGCAATTTTTTTGTAGATGGCTTTGATATCGTCGTAAATGATTGCTACGCTCATAATGGCGGGAACAAAAGGATTCAACTGATCGATCAATATGGATGTCCAGTGGATGACAAACTGATCAGCCGGTTTCGTGGTTCCTGGTCGGAGAGTGGCCTGTTCGAGACCCAAGTCTTTGCTTACATGAAGACTTTCAGGTTCACGGGATCGCCGGCTCTATATATCGAATGCGATGTTCGCATGTGCCACGGAAGATGTCCGGTAACCAAATACTTAGTGTAACGCGTTACTAATAGATTTTACTCCACACTCTTAATCCATTTAAAAAAGACTATTAATTTAATCTATTCCACGCTTATTAAATTTGATTAAGTGTTATAGAATGACTTACTTTTAAAATATTTTAATTAATTATTTAATACTATTTTATCACACAAAAAAATTTAATATTTTTATGTGTGTGCTGTATTTAATCCGTCGAGTTTATATTTACTTCTAAATTTTCGCAATAAAATTGATACTCTTGAAAAACAATTTGCCCGAAAATGTGAGATGTTCCAGTTTCATATTATAGATATTTTTAATTTCAACGATTCACCCGTATTTCAGAGCCAACCTTGCCACTGGAGAAACGCGAAGAATGTGGTAAAGCGATCGGTACCGGAAATCGGTGGACCGACGACGCCGGCGACTAGTTTGTCGGAGAACGTGAACCTCTTCCAGTCTCTTCGCGTTCTTCAGGAAGGCGAGGCGGACACGGAACTGTTCCAGAATTCCACTAACTACTCTCGCAGCGGTAAAGCAGAGCAGATATTATATATATGCCAAACATAATTTTTTACTGTTAAAACAATTACGTGTCAAGCCGTGCATTTATCACAACTTCGTTCAATGAGAAATACTCTACTTTTTTATCCAGTTGCGTTATAGCGAGCACCGATTCAAAACAAACAAAGCTTGCAAATATAAAATATTGCAAATCTTAGCTCATGTAAAATTACATTCAACGCTTCGAAAAATAAGCAAACAGAAATAATAAATTCATTGTAGCAATTATCAAACAAATTTAAATGTCTCTTACACTGAAAAAAAAATTTGTTTTGAAAAACGCAAAATGTGTTTTATCTAGTTAAACTATTTAGTTTAATACGTTCAACTAATCGTTAGTTAAACTAACTAATTCTTGATTAAAAAATTTTGATGGTCGACATGAATGAACTATACCTTTTTCAGTAATAATTGTTGAATCAATCATTGAATCAACAACTATACAGTCCGTAAAATCAATTTTTTGTCTCAGTGTACAAACATTAAGGAAACATAAGCAAGTGTTTAATGTATTTTATGCAAGACAATTACAATTATAATCTTTTTGAATTTGCATTTTTTTTCCTTGCAGGTTTTAGCGAGCCTACTGACAGAGTATGTCTGAGATCGACAGTGGCCAGTATAATAGTAGGTCTCGGCTGTGCCTTCCTCTGCATCATGGCCGGCACGATACTAGCCATGTGCTCGCGAATGCGACGGCAAGCGCGAGAAAAATTACTGTCGGACAGTATAAGCTACATGACGCACAAAGGTCGGATCAACTAGGGTTACATTTCTAGGATGCGGAGGCCTATTTCTTTTCGCTTCGTCCCAATCAGATTGCGATGTATTCGCATCTTTTGCATGGAGCCGCCAAGGAACTGCTCCGCCGGTATAATATAAGAATGCGTCGTTAAGATAGGAAATGGTCGATATAAATGACTGAACTTCGAGCCACTGATAAGTCGACATTGGATAATATATGATGCAACTAAAACGCGGTATATAATAATTAAGTTAATTTTTTTTATGAATCGGAAAAATATTCTGTAAAAAATTTTAGAAGAGTTTATTTTTTATGTACTCTTCTCTTCTCTCTATTAACTTCTTAAGGTAAACGTGGGATTGACACAGTGCGAAGTGCCTTACGTATTTTGATAGTCGTCGATAATTCAGACTCCCATGGATATAATAGGTCTCATCGATCCTTTGTGTGCGAATGCTTTTTTTACATAAATAATTATTCGCTGCTATACTCTCGCTTCTCTTACTTAACGAAGTGTTAATCGATACTCATTCGTCAATTGATGTATATGTCGCGAGTGAGGTATCCGTAGCGAGTTATCGCTCATCGATAAATAGAGGTAGAAATCGTCGATATTGCCACGATCTCGGTGCCGAATGTGCGGTCAACGGAAAATAAAGACTTCAACCTTTACCGCGTCGATCGGTAATTTAACAGTTTACTTGCGATCGACATGGTGTCTTTTCTCTTTTTTTTTTTTTTTATTATTGCTTACTTCGATCTCTCATGCGGCACGTTTAGAGATCAAAACGAATGTAACGTCAGTAACGACGCTTAATTGCCGTTGATAAGATTCAGTACTTATATGTGTCTTTATCCACGACATTACTCGCCATATTCAGGAACGTAAAAACAGTTTTTCTAGCAATTCGATTATTCAATGAAACGATTAATATGTAAAATAACGAATTAATAGGAAGAATAACTTAACAATGTCAAACGGAGCAGATAAACATTGCTATAATTAAAATATCAAAGTATCACAACAGAAAAATTATATTTTTATAAGAGATAAAAGAAATTTATTTTAACATAAATATCTATTTCTAAAGATATTCACATAAATAAAATATGCATAAAGTAAGAAAAAAATACATTCTATTCTGCAATTCTTTTATATATTAAATTAAAATATAATCAAATTATATTTTAAAATTGACGCATAATTGAAAAGTAAAACCATCTCATAATTCTTAGAAATCAAATAACTTCACATCGTTTTGCGGTTAATCGATGGATATTTATTCTGCAACAAGAAGCATGAGCAAAAATCGAATTATCTATTCAACCTGTAGAGGACAAGAAGCCTATATTTTTAGGCTCCACGGAAGTCGCGTATTTTTCGTAGTATAACACTTTAACACATATATGGAAGTTATAAATAAAAATCATAAAAAGTCATGAAAAAACTTGCTCGTCCTCTAAAGGTTAATTGACGGCCTAATCTCCTCGTTCCTGAATGTTCGTGAATAATGTGTTAAGGTTTTAACTGAATATCAATTATATGACAGGCAAATATGCTTAGGTTTATATACTTATACATACATAGCATCGAAGGTGCGAACCCTATATAATAGGAAGAAAAAGAATGGAATACAAGAAAATTACACGGAATCGCATCGGGTGTACGGCCAGCGAGGATTAAATAATATTTTACGAGACCGCCCCGCCAAAGAGTCGCGTAGCTCAGTTCTCGTCTTAATATTTATTCAGAAATTTGCCGAACCTCGCGCGATTTTTCGCCACCACACGCGTGTGAAATATTAATTTCCCCTCCTGGTTGTTCCCCTCTTTACACGTTTCGTATAATTTAACATTGCAGCATCTTTCCTCGTTTCTCATTGCTCCACATTGATTCCAAGCCCCTGTGCCTCTCCCCTCCGTCCTTCGAGCATCAAGCTAAGTATCGGGACTCAACTGCTCGATTAATTATCTGTAAATATAGTGTTGTATCATGACTCATAATATTTATGATTAAGCTCGAGTGTATCAAGGTTTCCAATAAATAATAGAAGAAGATTGCGTTCTCTGACATGTCTTATCTGACGTACCTCGCATGAATACAATGTTAGCCTTTTACTGTAACGAGAATGACTTATGATATAAACGAATAAGTTAAAAGCGATCTTATCTTAACTAGTGTCTTAAAAAAGTTCAAAGACGTTAATCTGAAATTTTATTTTATTTTTGGTACTTAATCTTAAAATGAGAAGCAACTGTTTTAATCAGAATTCTATTTATATCCTTCCATAAAATTTTTGTTTTACTTTATACTTTAATCTACATATATTTCATGATTTATTTTATTCTATTATCTGATATTAATTTTTAATTTATATGTCATTTTGTTTAATTAGTAAAATTATATATGTAGCCGCATGTAATATATAATAATATGTAATATATGTATCTTCATCTTATTTATGTTTATATTCGTAAATGTATACGCCATTTATTATACATATGTGATCGCTCGCGAAAGAATCTAGAAACCGGCGTGACGAAAGCCGAAGATCTACCTGGCTGATCTTGAATAATTTCAGATGTTTCGGGGTATAATGGTCACGGACCGGAACAAATCGTGTTTCCCAAACAGCGCATTCGTCTTGTGAGACGGATCCAAAAACGTCGGTCAATCGCCGCCTAAATGGGGTGCCCCCCGATGAAAAGTGAAAACTCCGCGCAATATCTCATCCGCAAGACGAACCGTGACCGTCATTTATCGTTTGATCCCTCGATAATGGAAGAGAAACGCGCTAATCGCCAAACGACCGGTTTTTCAATTTATCCGACAAGAGAAGAACATTATTTGAGGGCAGCTTCCGCTTTAATTATTTACAGTAGATTATTTACATAGTGATGGACGTATCTTAACGAGTGAATTAAGAGTGGCACTATATTTGTACTAATTTGAAAACTCTTGGTTGAGAAAAGAAAGGATAACTAACATTTTATATATTAGATGCAATATGAGTAGAAAACAATGTCAATATGCATTCTACAGCAAAATATGAAATAATATATAAATAACATTTTCTCTTTTCGTTACAATGTTTTACTAATGAAAAGATAATGTTATTATAATAAACTTCTATTAGTAAAAATATTGTATTACATAAGATAAAATAATATTTGACAGATTTTTAATTTAAAAGAAAAAAAGCTATTAAAAGTAAAAAATATATAATACACGCTATTGCAGAGCGAGTATCTACTTGTTTTTGAAATCTAATTACCAATGTGTGCATCAACTAAATCTCAATGTCACCAAACTCTTTCCGAAAAAGAGGCGTTACCAGCTATGGACCTTATTGTGTAGCAAAAGGGCAATCAGCCGCAGTAACGAACTGTCTCGCCCGCCTACCATGCGGTAATTAATCAAGCCACAATAAATTAATTGCCGCTCCGGCAAGAATTAATTGCCATCCCGACAATAATTATGGCTAACGCAGAAATAATTATCGTGCACCCCGGTAGAGCGTTGATCCTCGCCCAACGATAATCCGCGCTCGTAATTCGATACGTACGTATATCACGATCGATCGTTCCCTATGCGTGCGCAACCTCTTGCAAAACCAATTTAATTTCAATAAAATGAATTTTCTAAGTGTGAAATCACCCTGACAATGAGACAAATTTCGTAATAACATCCAAAATTAGTCTGCAAAAGCAAGGCAAAATATTTCAGTAAACTGTGTTAAAAGATATATTATAAGTTTGCTATTATTGTCGATTCTCTCTAATCATCTGTCATCTAATACAATAGTCCATCATTGATTATTATTTTGGAGAATTACAGAAATATTACACATATGTATTTTGCTATAACATACAAAAATAAATCAGTATTGGTATAAAAAAAAATCATTTCTTTATCAAAAGCTGTCCGTCGCTATCCATATAAATAACTTCTGAAAACACATAAAACTACGATGTTTTCGTGGATATCCTCTACTTCCTCATTTGTTCGTTCATCCAGAAAAGACGCACAGACATGCGTAAGATCGAGAGAAGAGGAGGAAGGCAAAGAACCGAGTGATAGATAGAACCGCGAGAGAGAGAGAGAGAAAGAGAGAAGGGGAAGAGGGCGGATATCAAAATGAAATCTCACAGGCTAATAAATACTCGGTTATCATGGGTAATCGAGTTATCGCGCGATAACCGAGAGGCGGGGTTTCACCGGGTGCGGATCACCAATACACTCGCGATCCGCATGTATGTACATACGTGCGGTGCACACGAGGAGCCCGCATACGTATCCGCTCACTTGACATGCCACCGTGTGTGTATCCACGCCATGCCACGTGTGTAAGTTCGGCACCGCGCACCGCGCGTACATATGTCCAAATAAAGTAGAGGTGTGGAGTGCCGAGATAGCGCCCGGCGGAAGTTACGTTCGGCTACGATCGCGTTCTCGGGCCACACGTCGTACTCAAGTTTCTCGTATTATCTTGAAGCGAGACTCGGTTAAAAGACCGATAAAGCATGACGATGCGGCTGTAAATAGACTCGCGAAAATGAGATAAAACGTTGAATTTTTTTCGCCGGAGATTTAGCCTAACTTTGTGGACTTGATATTGAGAAAAGGCTTTTAGGCGTATCATTAATCACGAGATATATTTTTTAGAAGGTCACTTGTGCTAGAAATTTTCATTTTTTGCACCTGCCATATTGTTTTGTGTTAAAATTTCAACTGTTAATTACAGTGATTTATTTTGCAATCGTTCGCTTGCTATTATTAAAGCCTGACAAAAATGTCGTCGACCACGCTTATCCTGCTCTCTCTTTACTCTACAAAAATGTTTTACCTTCGCCGAACAATACGATTGATTAAATGATATCGTTTCCAATCGAATCGTTTCGTTGACCGCGGCTGTCTGTTTCTCGTTGCAGGCCATAAATAAGATTGTCGGGTAATAAGATTCGCCAGAGGTAAATCCGCCGCCAGAGATAAGTCTGATAGATGCACCTCGGTGATTTCCCATCGCGAATATAGCTCGAGTCTTCTCGCGTGATCCCACGAAATTTAGCGCCTGCAGCGTGGAGCATTATTGCGACCCTGCAGGGCAATTTGCAACATCGCGATTATTTAACAGTGTATGACGATTTCGCCGGGCGGATTCCCCGCCGAAGAGAGGTTTCCTAATAATGAGCAACGTGCATCCCGCGAATCTGATAAAGACTCCATTGTGGATTATTCCGCCGTAATTTATCTTTGTATGCAGTCCTGGGCGACGCACGGCGCGGCGCGGGCAATGATGTTCATTATTGCGATGTGGCGCAACTCCGTGTATCTGCCTTATCAAACGACGGGCAATTTGTCCATCGTGGTTCTATCTAAATGTCCAATTAATAATAATTTAATTACATTACGGCCGTTCCCCTCCAACTCGACTGTCAGGCGAGTCGGATTAATGATTTGTAAGATTTAATTCTCCATAATCTATGTGCGAAGGGGAACTAATTAAGGAAGAATTCTATCTATAGATCTCAACGAAGTTCGCCTCAATTAATTGCGTAAGCGGCAAGTCTCTCGTGACTTGGCCGTTTTTTTTTATAAGCTCAATCGCGTCGTATCGCAGATAACGTGTTTAAACAGGAAAATAGTTCCTTGCTGAAATGACAAGTGTACTGACAGATCATCATTATTAAAAAGAAAAATAGACGTTACAGGCTATAATATGGGGACAAAAAGGAACAGCTTGAAACAAAACACGCGATAGAATAGTGTCCTTCCCTGATTCTTACGACAGGCCGCTATCAGGGCCAAATTGGCGCCTTCTTTGCCATGCTAATGCTGCCGGGTAGCTTGATACTCGAGAAATCGATACGTACGCACAGTAACAGGGACGCAGCCTCTTGTTTTAAATAGCTCCTCTTTCGTATATACCCTTTACATTCGAAGAAATGAAATAAAAGTACCAAAATAGATATCAACACATTAATTTTTTTATAAAAATTGCAGAGACAGAAAAGAAAGTTTCCAGCTGAAAAATATCCGCTTAATTTCTTCCGTTTAAGAGATACTCGCGGCGTTACTTGATTCGAAATATTAAGACTTCTGTAATTGCACGAACATAAATCAAAATAAACGAAATATTACGTATATGATGTGCAGCGGCAGCGCCGACTTTGTGCATAGCAATTTTGTATGTCACGGAAAAAATTTTAGTTTGCCGCATATTACGCGCTTCACACGGATGCGTCATAAATCACGTTAAAAAGAGTTTCCCAGCCTTATTATGCATCACTAACTTCGCACAGAGTAAATTATTGTATCATTAAGTGGATTCGTATCTGTACGGAACGTAAATAACACCGTTGCCACAATTAAAATAAAATCTGGGATTCAGATAAAAATCAGCGGCGTAAAATTAGTCAACTTGGGTGTTAAGGTGTAAATTATGCAAATTGATTCACTCCTATGAAGGATGCGCCCGCGTGTTACGCGGCGTTGAATTGTATCGTTACGATAAAAAAGTGCAATCTAATATAAATAAAAGAGATATAAAAAAAAATCGCTCTATATATTTGAGAAACATGAAGCGGTTTTAACATCGTTATAAAAACAAGTACCTAACTTAAGATAAAATTTTATTTCACAATTTTATTTAAACTATAATAAATATCGAATTGTATAATAATATCAGTAAGATAATCCACAAGAATATTTATATGTAGATACGATTATTAATTTTATATTAACTTTTTGCAACACTGATTTATTCCTATCGTTTAATGAAAGAAGAATTAATCGACTGAATAACCAAAAATATTGTCTTGGAAAATGTCGACGGCGTTTAATTCAGCAAAGCGATGAAAACGGCGGATCAAAGCACGAAACGAAATGTTTTTCCGCGAAGACACCGCACCGGCACGGATTCGCGCACACCGGCACCGTAGATCCGCCCCTGGGAAGGATGCATCACCTCGTTCCACGAGAGCGAGCTGCATCCTCTCAACGAATGAGAGTAGCCGCTTACGAATTAGCGGGCGCAGCAAGTCCCGGTTAACTTACAGGGTGTACCTAAGCGAAGGCCTTAGGGATACTAACGAGCGCGTGGACGCTCGTTAAGGCGGGAATGCAGGGTAGCCCGCGTTAACGAAATTTACGAAGCCAGCCGACGGTAACGAGTTCGAGGCTGGAGTACATGCTGCGAGCGAGGATATCGTCCTTAATCCCGCGATCGCGGCTGTTAACCGACGTCTTTTTTCCATCATTACGTACACTGTACGCCCCGACGAAACTACCACGTTCCCGATCCTTTACCCGGCTCGAATACCCCTTTTCGTCAATTTTACCTGAATTACGACGCATTCTCTTCCCCTCGATCTCCGTTCAACGATACGTTTCGACGTCGTCGTACGTTCATTGAAAACTGTAACGGAAAGAATAAAAACATTGTTGCGAAGAATGAGTTAAGTAAACGCAAACACAGATACGTATCACGTATCGTACACGCCAGATATATATATAATATTCCAAAACAATGCACAGAAAAATGTATATGTAATCTCGTCTAGAATCTTATTTCAGATTTTAATTATTCAGTAAGGAAAGCAAAGCGAAACGAATACGTCTTGTTTCGTGACAAGAATAAATATAATTTTATTATCGCAAGTAACGCGAACTGTGTAATATAATGGGAATAAATAATCTGATGGCAAGTAATTATAAACGATATAGTCTTGCCTCTCTTTCGCTTCTCGATAAATGTCGGATTTGCATTCAAACGAGGTGTTAATGGGTGCTTTCCAGTTAACGACACAAGTCGACACAAGCGTCATTCTATCTTTGTTGTTTACTAGATGTTGAAAAAAGACAGAATGACGCTTGTGTCGCTAAATGAAAAGCACCCAATGTGTCACTAACAATATATCATTATGATGGCTTATATAACGGCCAAGTGTACATCGGTTTCTCTGTAGATTTTTATTTGTGCGTGTTGACTTGAGAAGTACGTGGACACATCGAAAACCACAAACAATGGCAGTCCTGAGTTAGAAAAATAAAAATTTGTTGGAAGATGAAAAATCTATAAGCGTAGATTAGAGCTAGATAAAGAAAGGTAAAAGAGCGTTCTTGAAAACGTGTCTGCAGACAATAATTGGGTTTCGTTGATTAACAGAATTTGCTTTAATTGGTTCATCTTCTTCACCGCGCATGCAGATATAAAGTATCAATTTGGCTTAGTTAATTTTAAATATGTTATTCTTAATAGTTAAAAAAGTCAATTCAATAGTTATAATCGAAATAAGATGTCCACTGTCTTATTTTACAAATTTTTGCTATAATTAAATGCTTACAATGTTAAGAATACTGAAGAATAAATTGATTATGTGGACGGACGTATAATATTGAGCGCGAAATGGCAGGATTAATCTTCCGACGTATACAAAATCTGCAGGATCGGAATTTACAAGCTGATAGGTTTTTACCTTCGTTACATCCTTATCCGCATGAAGATCGACTTATAATGAGCTTTAACGATCGCTTCGGGATCATGTTGACGCGCGCCCGAGCTCCTCACTGGCCAAGCGAAAAATGAATACATGATTCACGAGCTGCATGCACGCTACCTTCTCCAAGAGGATAAAATACATCGCAAAGAATCGATAGTCGAGTAATTTCATCGCTACCGATGATTCGCGGCCTTTATCTGCTTTGCATTTCCATGTCACGCGAGAGTTGCTCTCTTAACTTCCCTCATTCAGTTCCTCTTCTCCATAATTATGAGAGGATCTCATTATAGACACATCTAGATCCAAGTCTATGATTTTGCCTGATTTATAGCTTCGATACCATCTAGCGTAAAAATTTATTTCTGGCGAGAATATTTTTATCTCGCATTAAAAAACACATTTGGCAAAAGATAACAAGCGAAAGATAACGTGGAAGGCCATAAATATAAAGAAGGAGGAAACTAATAAAGTCAGAGCAAGTTCAACAGACCTGAAAATGTGTAGAACGTTCATATAACTAAACAAGATAAATGCAACGATATCATCTGTTTTAAGCGTAGTAAAGGCTAAGTGTTAAATCATATATGAGCAGCTAGAGAGGAATCAGAAAGAGCACGCGTAAAGCGTACAAGGCGAAACAGACGGAACGAAGAGAATAACGAGAGAAGCAACTGGCGAAGTAAAGGCATGAACGGTGGGGATGAAAGCAAGAGGGACAGACACACCGACAACAAACGAGTCGACGAGGACAGAATAGCGCGGCGAGCTGTATCACCTATGGGCAGATACAGAACTCAGAAGAAACGCGCTGGGGTACGCGCCGCGAGCGGCGACGGAATAAAGTCCGCGCGAAAGAGAGGGAGAGACGGCTGCAGCCGCCCCAATAGACCTCTACCACCCAGCGACGCTGGGTGGGGATCGGCCGAGTGAAGAGTGAGATCGACGGAGAAGGATAGCCGCTGGATGTGGCGCGAGGGTAGGGTGACGCCGCTGATCGCGGCAAGAAGTGGGACGTGGTGACTACCTATGAGGCAAACCCGCGAGACGTCGGCACGCTCGAGTGGGGGCGAGTTAGGGCGTTTCGGTGCGGCGTGTTTGCGTGTCAGCCGCCAGATGTCGAGCGATCGAATCCCTCACCCGCGTCCTCGTCCCTTCGGAGTCACCTTCGGAGGCGTGGACGCGTACAGGTCTACACCCAGAAACGCCCATCGCGAGCCCTCCCGCCGCTTCCTCGCCGCAGACGTTCCGCGGCAACCAACTGGACAACCAGGCCCGGTCCGGTTTCACGGCGTCGCACTACGGCTCCGTCGAAACCCGCGTCTACCAGCGCCGCGAAGGACTCCACGTTTTCACCGGCGCGATCCACTTGGAGCGATCCACTGAACTCTGACGTTCCTACCTTCGTCGCAGTCGTTATTTCTGTCCTGATCCGTGGACTAGTTGATACAACGGGGACACATTCGATGCATCGCCGTCGCGTTGAGAACGTCAGTGATCTTTGTATGGCGTTTAAAGAACGTCCAACCGGTCGAGGTTCTAAGAATATGTGAGAGTGCATCGTATTAGACTAGAACAGCGAGGACTTTGAAGGGCTACGTTTTGTGGGCGACGACAGACCGTCACGATTGCGTTCCAGGAATTCCAACTTAGGTTATTTGTACCACAGATGAGCAACAAACTTGTTCGAAGTAACTTATGGTGTAAACATCGCCAAAAAGCCTACGACGAAGAACAAATCGAGGATGAAAGTGAAATGAAACATAAACATTGACTGAAACAGTCCGCGTAACTGTCCGTCGGAATGAAACCGAGTGAGACTACGGTTTAGCCGGTGATAGTACTCGTGAGAGGTCGATATAAACGTCAGAAGTGTGAAATTGTGAAGAAAAATTCTCCCAGCAAGAGGATCATCCTGAATTGTTAGGTATGATCTTGTTAATCAACCATGTATGTTAAAAAAAAATCGTGAAACTGGACCAGATAATGACAAATATACAAATATGAAGATGACACCATCCATCAATGCTAGACGGATCACTTCCGTAGGATAGATAATTAAAAATGATGTCTAGAATCAAAAGAGAGTTACGATTAATTTGAAGAAGTTTCGGGGAGAAGAGGGCATCATGAAAACACGGCCTACGAAAGTTCCATTGTGATCGGATCAAGAAGACTAAGTTTGTCACTGTGCGAGGTGGGTGTTTCTTCGGGTAAAGATGTCGAGTACTCTTCCGGAGGCACCAATGGGTCTGGACTCATCGGATCCGGATGTCAGGCCGAACCACCTGATCTCGCGGTTGGATCAGGACCCGGACGATGCGGAGAAACGGGATCAGACGCGGGGGATGGAGTGCAACAACGCGGAGAGCGATTGCGAGAGCGACACGAGCGAGGTGTTGAGCGTTGGCAGCGAACCGACGCCAACTAGCGTAGTCGGAGTGCGCGTGTGCGGCTCCATGAGGTACGACCAGGAGTCCGCGAGTAGCCGGGGCGAGTTCCGAGACGAGGAGAACACGCGAACGTCGGCGACGCCATCGCCGTCCAGCTCCACCAGCTGCAACGATTTGTATTATCAGCGTACGTCCAGTAATCACGTACCGGCACCGAGCCCGCCCGGTTACAGTCAACCACCGTCATCTCCTACGGCGTCTTCCGTCAGATCTCCGGCTTCCTCGTCGGCTACCGCCTCGTCCCCCGGTCGGCCAGAAGCTATACAAGAGGCTATCGTACCTAGATACCAATCCAGTCATCAACAACACCTCCTTACCCGATACTCCTCTAGGGAACCTGATATTTCCGACTATCCGGCGCGAGTTCAGCACGGCCTGGGCCACGAAATCGTTTATCCCACCGTGGAAAGGTTACATCGTACACCAATAAGCGTTCCTCTGGTAACGAGACTCTCGTTGTCACCGCCGTCGGCCATGACGGTCACCGGACTCCAAGCGACGACGCCCGTTCTGCATCCCGCCGCTTGCCGAGACCTGCGGGAAACTACCTCGTTGATACCGCATCACAGTCAGCATCTGCATCACGCGAACGCCCACACGCATCTGCATCAGGGCTCGCAGGTGCAGCACGTACCGGCGAATTCGGTGCACCAACATCGGCTCTCGGTCAGCAAACTTCTGCAACGGGATTCCGGGAGCCCGGCTTCGCCCGGCGCCAGGGAGGAGAACGGACGCACCCTGCCCGCCGCGAACGGCGTGCAAAACAGCATTGGCACCAGTAACAACGGCAATCATCACAACAACAATAACAATAACAACAACAACAACCTGCAGCATCAGGCGGGCCTAAAGTTCAGCATAGATAATATTCTGAAGGCGGACTTTGGTAGAAGGATCACGGATCCTATCTCCCTGAAGAAGTCCCGGCCTAAGAAAGTGTCGTCGAGGCCGATCGATCTGACAAAGGATTTTCTAGAGTCGTCCTCCGACGCTTCCGAGAGGAGCAGCTCAGAGACGACGACAACCAACGCCTCCCCCACCGGTGTTTCGGCTGGGAACCCAACGTCCAACTCGACTGGAACAACCGGGACCGATCCTGGGAAGATGTTGTGGCCAGCGTGGGTCTACTGCACCAGATACTCGGACAGGCCTTCCTCGGGTAAGTTATCAATATTATTTGAGCAATATTCGTGTACTGAGTTATGCAAATTCGTTTTTGTTTTCGCTTCATGTAGCCTCATGTCATTTTATTTTATGAATCATTCGAGAATGTTATTTATTGACATGTGTTATAATCAATGATATCTTTGGCAATCGCCTATGTAATGCGTCACGACGACGAAGCTTCGATTTGTCACAACAGAGACGATGATTTACATCGTCGTTGAAATATGACAGACAATCCGCATGTTACGATCTCATTAAAATTCCGGGTATTTTATACAGTCTTTCGTATGAAAGCGTAACGGTAAATATATGCCGCATAATAATATGATTGATCAAAATTTACAGCCATTGTTTGTCTAGCGCAGAAGTTCGCGGTTTCGCGTAGTTAATATTCGAAGAAGTTAATTGCGGAATGTTTTCAAATGGCGAAACAGGTTTTACGCATTCATTGTTCGAGTGGGATTGCCCAATCCGCGTGGCTAGACTCTCTCATTAGGAGTATATAACGGCTGTAAATGCCAAATGTAAAAATTTTTGTTAGTCAGAGAAGAAATATTTAGCACTGAAGAAAATGCTTCTCGCCATTGTGCGAGAAAGCGTTTGTAAAACGGCTGCAATTTACTACTATCACGATTGACGTGTAATACATTGTTTATTCGTGAAACCGGCTGTCACGTTTTTCAAATAATAATTAATTAGGGAAACGTGTAGCATATACACACATTAATTACGATTTGCCTTGATAGGCGAAATTGGTGCAACTGTATAAATATATAAACGCGTTTGGAAGTGCGGAAATTAAAATAATCTCGCAATTCATAATAACAAAACAGTTCCTCAATGTCATATGGAACCTATCCTTGTAATATAGCAAATAATTTAAGATCTTATCAGTAATTTAAGCAACATATATTAGCGCATATTTTATCGGCAAAAATATGATTTATCGTCGGAGGATATTAAAAGTACACAATCGTACAACACGTGGACGATTCGACTGTGTAAAACTTATTTTTAACGAACCGCTATGTATCACGGCACCTTACGCTATTGATCGGACAGTTAATTATCATCTGCTTTTCGAAAGAAGTATGTCGGTATTATTACCGCTTTTTTGCAGCATCGCGCAGATAGATGGTCCTTTCAAGTGACACAGGAAAACGTGTAATTACTTTACTTCCCGGCCGAGTGCCAGCTTGATGAATGATAGAGAACGTTTCTTCGTGTCATTCATATCTGATATACGCTTATTGTCAGGAAACAATAGTTAAGCAGTCGGAGAAATAGCCGCTCTCTGCCTCATAAATCAAGCGTAGCCATTTCTCACCTGGTACCCGAGTAACAATTTTCTAGACGGATCCAAGACTCGACGTTGTTGCGCAAAAATTCGATCGATAAATTTATATAATTGATAAATACATTTATCTTCGCGTTGCGCTTTACATATATTTTATATTATTATATACGACGTGCACTTCATACCCTCATATTACACCCGATAGCGCGATTTGTACTTCAGAATTATAAATTGTTGCAACACACTCTCACGTGCATCTATGAATTATCGGGCTGTTAACATTTCGCGATAATACGTATTTCCGTATCTCGTCGGTTAAATATCTCGCTCTGCGCGATAACATCTTTTTAAAGTGAAAACTGCTCATTGCATTACGGCATTTTATCAAACGCGCGAACTTTATAATCGTAATGTATCGCCGTCAGGGCTGTTCATTACACCAAACACCGTGACGAATAGATAAATACTCTTGCCAGGAGAGATATTATTGGATCACCTTTTCCTATTATGTCTTTACAACGCGTAATTCCGCGACGGGTAGATAAGAAGCGAGTTGTTAAAACGACTGCTATAAAATCTAATTACCGTAATTGCGCGTGCTACTCTCGTGCGGCGAGTTCATTGATATCATGGTCGACGGTATCCACGAGTTATTCTTTTCGCGCGTTCGCGTGCATTAATATCCGGTGAATAAGCGCGATACGGTCGCGACAAGGCTGGCAATTTCTAAATGCGTATCCGCATTGACGGAGAGTCCAGAATAAAAGGGGCAAACGAATCTAATCGTATGCTGATCACACGCACCGGGACTTTTACACCCGCGATAATTAGACACGAAACAAAATTCCTGACTCGTTATCAGCTATTTATCGACGTCTATAAATACTATACGCAATAAAGGATCTTAAGCACTACAGTATAAATGTATTTTATAATGGATAAATGTCATATAAGAAATTGAACTCTTTTTAGAAGAATTTTCTCAAAACTCTAAAATATTTCGGGTCATATTAATAAAATAACATTAATCACTTTGTTTACCTTATAAAAATTAAATGATTTATAAAAGTTAGTAATCGAATTACTATCTCATGTTCTTTGATGCTCATATAAGACGATAACAGTTGCTTATTGATTACAGATCACTTTATTTAATGAAACTTCATCAACAGCTGTCGCGCGAAGTCTGCAACCTAGATAAGAAAAAAATAATAAGATTAACATCGGCCGTTACGAGTGCGCGTTACCATTCTAGAGCAAATTGCATTTCGTAATCGTAACGTGGGAAAGTTCATGACGACGATCGATCAAGCGGCGCGTTTGTGCTTATCGCCTGTCCCGCTGATGCGGAAAGGGAACGAGGTCCGCGTCGATAAGACCAGGCGCTCCAGAATATTGCATAATTAAGTAATCCATAACAGTTGCCGAATAGTCGCGATCTTCCGATCGGACCGAATCGGACGCGGACCGATACGTCCTGTGGACCGGCACTCTCAGGCAACAAGCGCGACCGCGAGGTGCAATAAAGCCGGCGGTATCGCGCGCTAAAATCCATTTACGGAAAGTTATGGCTAATTAGTTGCCTCGACCTCGGATACGCGCGCACGGACGCGAGTTCCCGTTAACGAGGCTCAAACTGGTGCCGCGGGGCACCGTCGGAAAAGGACAGCACAGCTGTCCCGCGTACTAGTCGCGGGCTCCGCGTATCACGCGGTTGAGAATTTGAAAAATTCGCAGGCTGAACGCTTTATTGGCGATACCCAATGGGTATTGTCACGCACGAACGCATTAAACTCGTTGCGTGTCGCGGCGGGGAGAACGCGTGTTGCAACGCGTGTCCTAAACGGGAATGAAACAGCGATCGACGAATCGTTCGCGTGATTAACGTGGCCGTCAATTTGGTAGGATCTCGCTGCATCACGCGAAACCTAAAACACTGTCGAATTGTTCCGCGCGAAAGGTGGTTGCGTTATATTCGCGTTTAAGAAACAATCCCCCGTTCTGTCCCGAAGAAAGGAACGAGAACGATCCGGTACTTGTTCGTCATTATTAGTCGGCGAATGGGATCGGCACGTTGCATAATTAAAGGAACGATCGGCGATCGGTAAAAAGCAGCGTGCGTTATATGGCGATACATCAAGCCTTAACGAAATGTTCGCGGTGAGATAAAGAGAGGGATTAATTCGCGGACCTGGTTCCCGTGGCTCCACTCGGTTTCTCTCTTTTTCTTTCTCTCTCTTTCTCTCTCGTTTCTTCGTATACTCGATCGATTGGACGGGAGTACCGATATACGTACATACATACAATTGGCATACGTGTGTAACCGAGCGCGCTGGCTCCGTATCGGGCGGTCTCGCGGGATCCATCGATCTTATTAGGGTTAAATCGAAGGTGCTTCTCGTTCTCCACGGCTGGACACGATAACAAACCCACACGGCTGGAGGAGCCGTGTACAGCAGCCACGTACAGCGGCCCCGGAGGCGGTTACAAAACCTATGAATGGCTTCCGTTCGCGCTCCAGATATCGTAACGTGAATTTTCAGATAAGACAAGCGTCTCGTTGCATTTCAGCTTGGAAGAAACGGCGCTGCTAGTTGTTCGTACTTCTCTCGAGTCTTAGATTGCGATGCTCTCGACACGAGGACGAGTTGAAGATCTGCATATTACATTCGAAGAAAGGAAATAGATTCGAAAGATTAATCTGAAAATGCCTGCGTATACGTGCGATTACAAAGCGGAAGAAATGTATCTTTATCGCTGAGGTAGAGCTGAGGTACGGAAGAGCTGCTGCGGTCGTGATGCCGGGACACTATCATTATATCTACATTGAGATAATTGTCTGTCAATTCCGCGTCTGTTAATTACGTAACAACCACAGGGCAGCTTCCGTTTCACCGGGCAGAAGCGACAGCAGCGAAAAAACGATGTCCCGAAGGCATAAAATGAGAACGAGTGTTACGTTCGTTTGAGAATGTTGCATCATCCGAATGAAATCCTACCTAACGATATATTAATGACTTCGGTATTATCATTCTTATCCGATATTATCATCCGCGGTCTATCGCGCGGATCAAATTTTTTCTTGGCCACGCACATATAGAAAATTGAATCTTACAATTAGTTGGAAAAAAGCGTCAAATAATCATAGGAGACGGCGTATTTGAAGGCATCATTTAACGCACGATGCTAGAGGTTGTTCAAAATTCTGTCGAGACAAGTGCAAAGCTGTTAATGTGCGCGATGAGTATGTACCGGTGCGAAATAATTAATAGCTTTTGAGACTTTGTGCATTGATTGGAGCCAAGTAGGCAATTAAAGTACGCGACTGCAGAGCAGCTTCGAGGAAAACATCGACCATAATTAGACATCACGATGGAAAGAAGATACAATTATCAGTGCAAAAAAGATAAATTATCATGCTGGAAAAAGATTAAAATTGGTTCTCAATAATAAAAAGCTTAATACAACCCGAATAATTTTACATCACTTTAACATGAAAAGATCATATCGCACGACCTAAAACTGTCAATCCGTCTTGTTTCAAACTTACAGCTCTTTTGATATGTTCTCTCTTCTTAGATTAACGTCTCACGTTTAATATTTGCATGTTGTTTTCTGACATTCGCGTGTCGTCGACTCGCGTTACATGTTGTCACCGTAGAATTAATTAATAGCTAAGTCAATATAAGTCAACC